ATTGCAAATGCAAAGAAAACAAAGCAAAATGTAAGTGGATCATGCAAGACCCATCAGAAATGGGGGGGAAACCCCAAAAGCAAACAACCCCCCCAGGACCCATTGGAAATGGGAAAAAACCGCAAAAAGCAAGGAAACTCCCCAAGACCCATCAGAAATGGGGAAAAAAACTCCAAAAAGCAACCAAGCCCCCAAGACTCATCGGAAATGGGGGGGACCAAAAAAACAAGCAAACCCCCCAAGACCTATCACAGCACAGAAACATAACCCCCCCCAACCCACCCAGAACAGTTTTTAAAAAGCAGAAAGCAGCACTTTACCTTACCAGGCAGCCCGAAGCCTCCTCCAATCACACTTTCTCTAACTGCTGGGACGAAAGAGCTACAAAGCAGCAGCCTCTTTGCCACCAACAGTTAGCAATTTGAATTTTCTGCCTTTTTGTGTTCATAACTGGAAGCTCCAGCCACAAGTTGAAGCAAAATTTTGCGGCCAGAGCTGGTCGTAACTCGGGACGTTCATAAGTTGAGGTACCACTGTACTAACTGGGGTGAAAAAATATATTTCTCCGACTCTGGATGCCTTACACTGGTTACCCATTAGAGCCTGCATCAACTTCAAGGTATTAATAATCACATATATAGCCCTAAACGGTTTAGGACCTAGATACCGGTCAGAGCGCAGTTGTTTTACATGAGAGTCCTTCAGATGTTTGAAGAGTACTATTTTGTCCTCTGTAAACCATATTTACCAGCTGCATGGAATTTCTTCAATCCTTCCTCAGAGTATTTGTTTCCTATACCTATGAACATTTTCACTGCCTTTTTCTAATCCCATACCAATTAGTCTACTAAACGGTTGTCCAACCTGCGGCCCATGGACTGCATGTGGCCCAGGTCAGCTCGTAATGTGGCCCAGTGCAATTTTTTATTTAAAAAGAAATTCCAAAGTTTCAAGTTAAACTGCAGGCGCTTGCAGCCGGAATGCAGCTGGGGCACATCACAACGGTAGGGGGGAGAGAGGGAAGGAAGGAAGGAGCGGGAGGGGAGGGGAGAGGGGGGCTGCGTGACTGCATTGCATCATCCCCGTCAATAGGTGCACCCCCTCCCGGCCCCATAAAGCCGCCAGAGTCGAAGCTGGCAGCCTCTGCTATCTAAGATTGCAGCTGCCAGTAAGCGTACTTGGAGCGGGGCTGCGGAGGATGGCTAGGGCTGACCCCCATGCGGCCCAAACCAAATTTATGTGGCCCAAATCAAATTTTCATCTTCTAATGTGGCCCAGGGCAGGTGAAAGGTTGAACACCCCTGGTCTACATCCTTCTTAAAGAACTGTAACCGTATCATGACCTATTGCACAGGACTACGGAAAAAGCAAATAACTACTGGTACTTTGGACTGGGGCTCAATTGTCATTTTGAGCCTAACTGAAAGTATGGTGGAATACAAAGTATTAAATTTACTTGTTCATGGACAGCTGGTTCTGTAAAAGATAATAAGCTGTGCACTCCTGAATTCTTACCACACATATCACAAACCTACACTAAATTCCAAGATATCAAGGTAAAAGAAAGACATTATCCAAGAACACTTCAGTAAAAATCAAGTTCTGTAAAGATATTTTGTTCATTAGAGGTGAAACTGTATAAAAATGTTTATTTGAAAAGTCCACAAAACTCAATGGCCAGAATCTTGTTTGTCTAGCTGTAATGTAATGTTACATCTGCATAAATGTCCCAAGTGTTCCACCCACACAATAAGGACTGAGCAATTGGGTGTGCCATTCCAGTTTCAACCAGTTATGCAATGCATCTATAGAAGTGCTTAGTGGATAGTGCTTCTGCCTTAGCACAATGAGCACTAACACTTGTGGAATGCTGAGCTACAAAAGCATAGTTACTGAACAGGATTGCAGTCAGTAATTTTTATCCCCTACATAAATGTGTGCTTATTACTTAATATTATTTAACTTTTCACCTCTACTTTGAGGTGGACAGTTTTTGATCCCTACTTTATCCTAAAAGTTTAATACTCTTACCTGATTAAAAATATCTGCTCGAACAACTTCACAATCAACTTTGTATTTACAAATGAGGCAAGAAGCAGTTGCAAATGAACCTAAAACATACAGATCAGAGAACAAAGATACATTGGTATATACATACGTTAGATCGTTACCCAAATGCTATCTTGTGCAACCCTGAAAGCTAATGCATTTTATTTCTGTAGCTTTTGTGGCCTCTAGTGCCACTGACCAGTTGGGCGGGCAGATTCCATGGGAGAGGTGTACAAGTGCAACACATGCAGCAGTCCCCAACCTTTTTGGGACCACTGACCAGTTGGGCGGGCAGACTCCATGGGAGAGGTGTATGAGTGCAACACGCTCGTGAGAGCGCAACGTGCGAAAGTGCGACACATCCACCATGTGTGTGGGCAGGGGGGTGGAGATCCATTACTGCAGCCCAGTTCCAGCAAGCCCACGGACCAGCACCAGGCAGTGGACTGGGGTTGGGAACCCCTGCTCTAGCAGCCCAGTTCCAGCAAGCCCACAGACCAGCACCAGGCTGTGGATTGGGGTTGGGAACCCCTGCTCTAGTGCATTTCTTTAGATGCATAAAGAGCACAACAGTCCACAAAAATTATGCCAAATGGAATGGTTAGTTTTTAAGATGTCACCAGATTAGATACGGGGGATTCGTATTCATCTCCCAGAGGAGACGAATACAAAGCTTGCTATCCAGCAAGCCCACAGACCAGCACCAGGCTGTGGATTGGGGTTGGGAACCCCTGCTCTAGTGCATTTCTTTAGATGCATAAAGAGCACAACAGTCCACAAAAATTATGCCAAATGGAATGGTTAGTTTTTAAGATGTCACCAGATTAGATACGGGGGATTCGTATTCATCTCCCAGAGGAGACGAATACAAAGCTTGCTATCACAGCTGGCCGGCCTGATTAAGCCTTCCACAACTGGGCATCCACTTACATCTTACAGCATGGCATGTGCTGCCGTAATTTTTCTCCCTGTGCCAATTGCAGAAGTAGCCTGTCCAGGTCTTCCTTGTCTCCCTGTGCTGCTGACCAATACGACGAGGGGGCAGGATGACCAATCTCTCTGCACAGCTGCTGACTGATCAGCAGCACAGGGAGGCAGGGAAGCCCCAGCCAGGCTACATCCACAACTGGAGGGGAGAGAAGAATGATGGCAGTGTACGCCATGCTGTAAACTGCAAGTGGGCTCATGGCTGGGGTGGGGGAGGGTTTAATCAGGCTGGCCAGCTGTGATGGTGGACTTCGTATTCGTCTTCCCTGGAAGAGAAATATGAATTCCCCTTCTCTACATCAAAGTCTGCAATGTTTTTGCTGCAATGAACTGTCCTAGGCTTCCTATGTAAGTTTCTCAAGTGTTACAATTCTAATATTAATTTATGTAACTTAAAATTCACAACATATCTGGACATAAAACACATAAAATTGTGGTGATTTTCCAATACGCTTTTACTCAACTGATAAATCCTGTAATTAAATTTATTTAGCAATTGTATTCCATAATTTATTTTCCAAACATTATTTACCACATTTGCAGCATAGTATAAATCCAGACAAGGAGCTAAAAGGTAAACATTTTCTCAAAGTCATTATTTCTGGAAATGTAATTCTATATATTCTTACTTAGGTGAAGTCCTACAACTGAGTACATGTAGGACGTCCAAATCCTAAGCATCACATCTTTAGAGCTAAAACATTCTGATAATACCAAGCAGCCTTGATATATATGCTGAAACAGGCAAAACTCTAACCCCTTTGTCTCGTCCCAAACAAGACGTCTGTAAATTCTCCAATTACCCATCTGCCAACTGTTCTTTTCTCTTGAGAGTTTCCCAAATTTGGTATGAAGTACAGCAGTAACTAATAATGGCTAAAATCTTGTTCATAGGATACGTTAATCTGTGTTATTCCTTGTTAACAAAGTGCCTCTGCCATGATTGCTGGCTTGACTTGCTGGCTTGATGCATGTGTATGCGTGCATGCCACTGAGAATTGTGGCACAGATCTGTTGTTTACCAGGGAGGAATAGACCGCAAGTTACAACTTGGCTTGCACTACAAACAGAATTTCAGGCAACATATTAGCGAGTGCCTTTTTCCTTATTGCCCCGTCTCTTTAGGCATTACAGATAATTAGAAATGTGGTCTGGGGTATATGAATCTAAAAATAGAGCACAACTTAAAAGTCATTAAATATAAATGTGAAACGCTTATAAATCATTTCCACATTTTTCACTCACTAGCTACAACACTGGAATGTGGCAGTAGGTTTATTTTTTACTAAGCGGCTCCAACTTTTATCTCTGTAAGTCTAAAAATACCATAAACTTCTGTTTAAGTGAAACCGGAAAGCTCTGGAGCAGGGTGCTGAGATAAAATTCATCATTAGGAAGCTGAAATAAAATGCTTTCTGAATGTTTGTATTTATTAGTTTCTATGTTTATAGTTAAATGTGTTCATATATTTATCAGGAATTTAGTAAATGAAATCATAAAACTTTGTAGGATTTGGTGTACACACTGTAATGCTCATAAGTGTATCTATTAAATATAGGGCAGAAGAAATTGTAAATTTAACTGACCATGACACTGGATTATCCTTTGAATTCCTGCAACTTGTTCCATTGTATCTATGTTCTGTGTATAATTATGAAGCAGTTTTTTTTCTTTATCCAGCAAAGCCATACATTTATGACAGAGAGATGGTTGAAACTGTCCAGGATATATTTCCTGCAGAATAAACAAATGCATCTATGTAAATAAATTCTGCAACTATATCATTTTGTTTTGACTAAAAACAGGTACATTTGTTATTTCTTTTAAGAATACACAACTTTTTGCTATCAAATTTAATGCAAAAACAAATCCAGTGTATAACGCAATCTTGTGTTTTTTTAAAAAACCTCAATATATCTCCAGTTGTTCTCAAGAGGCACACTCTCAGATGTAGCAGTTGCTGGGAATATAAGCAGGATAGTTCAACTCCTTGTGCCACATAGGCATCTGACTGGTCACTGCAGGCACAGAAAAGTTTGTTGCTGTTTTTTTTTTATGTGCAGAAGACAGCTGCAATCTCACAAAACTCAGAATATATCCCACTGAACTCAATGGAGTGCATATGACAGCAGAGTATCTCACTGAGCTGTGGAATTTTAATTTAAAAATCAGTTAAATATGCTTTTAACCTGTGTCAAACCTTTGGCTTCAATAAGACATTACTATAACGCACCAACAACATAAATGAAGGAGATACTATGCAACAAAGAAATAACCAGTGAACTAATTACAGGGGTCACATTTTGATCATTTTTTTGTCATTTGCAATACATTTTCCATTCTGGAAACCTGGAATTTGATTTGGGCATTATGTTTGTGATATCTAAGCAGCATTCTCAGAATGCCCACTAATTATTGTAAGCCGCCCAGAGACCTCTGGGTAGAGTGGGCGGCATATAAATTGAATAAATAAATAAATAAATAAATAAATAATTTAAAGCAATTCATCATTAACAACATTTTCTCTTATGAACCATCATTGGTCCCTTTGTTGTAATCTGGGCAGTTTCTCTTTAACCATTAAGGGTTCCTTGACATGCTAACTCATCAGGTCTCTAACCCAAATGGTCTAACGGTAGAGATGGCATTAGAGTCCTTGCAGTCTACAGACTACGGAAAGTCAGGTCTGAAAACTTAGTGAAGTGGCTAGAAGTTCATCTGCTTGCTACAGAATAAAATGCTCTTTAATTAATTCTCTTAAATGCTGTGTCTGTTTAGTGCTAATGAGATTTTGGAGGCAACAGCCTAATTATTTCATTATAAAAACTTCTGGAAAGGTAAAGCACAGCAATATACATATCTGATGAGAAACTGATCCCATCACCTCCTGGCAAATAGAAGGGGAAGACATGGAGGCAGTGACAGATTTTACTTTCTTGGGCTCCATGATCATTGCAGATGGAGACAGCAGCCACGAAATTAAAAGACGCCTGCTTCTTGGGAGGAAAGCAATGACAAACCTTGACAGCATCCTAAAAAGCAGAGACATCACCTTGCCAACGAAAGTCCGAATAGTCAAAGCTATGGTTTTTCCATTTGTGATGTATGGAAGTAAGAGCTGGACCATAAAGAAAGCAGACCGCCGAAGAATTGATGCCTTTGAACTGTGGTGCTGGAGGAGGCTCTTGAGAGTCCCCTGGACTGCAAGGAGAACAAACCTATCCATTCTAAAGGAAATCAACCCTGAGTGCTCAATGGAAGGGCAGATCCAGAAACTGAGGCTCTAATAATTTGGCCATCTCATGAGAAGAGAGGACTCCTTGGAAAAGACCCTGATGCTGGGAAAGTGTGAAGGCAAAAGGAGAAGGGGACAACAGAAGATGAGATGGTTGGACAGTGTCATTGAAGCGACCAACATGAATTTGACCCAAGTCCAGGAGGCAGTGGAAGACAGGAGGGCCTGGTGTGCTCTGGTCCATG